AGTACCATATCATCCCCATTTCTCTTTTCAATTGATATATTTTGGGGGTTGATACGACCTTTCAATACATGGATACTATGTGTGATGATCAAGTAAGGGAAATTAGCACTTTATCATCTCAAACATTTATCATTGTTTTGGATTGGAAATATTCAAAATTCTCTTTATTAAGTATTTTTGAAATAAGTAATTAATTATTATTAACCATAATGAAACTGTGCTATAGACATCAAAGTTTATTCTTCGTATCCAGCTGCACCCCTGCATCTATTAACATCCTTTCCCCATCCCCTTCTCAAGTGGTAACCACTACTTTACACCATGCTTACATGACATCAACATTCTACCTTTCACATGTAAATGGGATGTAGCGTTTATCTTTCTACACTTGACTTATTTCACTTAACATATATCCTCTAGTTCCTTCTTGGGCCTCTGCATCCACAAGGGAGACCCAGAAGAAGCTCCTGGCTGCTGGCTTCAGATGGGCCTACCTATGGCCATTGCAGCCAATTGAGGAGTAACCTGAGTATGGAAAGTCTCTCCTTCTCTTTCACTCTGTAGCTCTGCCTTTCAAATAAATATATAAATCTGAAAGAGAGAGAGAGAGAGAGAAAGGAAGGAAAGAAGGAAGGAAGGAAGGCAGGCAGACAGACAGACTGGAGGAAGAGATTAACACTTATTTCTGGGTATTTAAACATTTAACTTCTTTTTACTTTTTTACGTGTTCCAGTTACCTACAACAGACCAACTCCAATTTTGTAATCAAAGGAGGACAACACACTATCTTAAAAAATTTTATTTATTTATTTGAAAGTCAGAGTTGCACAGAAAGAGAAGGAGAGGCAGAGAGAGAGAGAGAGAGGTCCTCCATCCGCTGGCTCACTCTCCAACTAGCTGCAACGGCCAGAGCTACGCTGATCTGAAACTAAGAGCCAGGAGCTTCTTCTGGGTCTCCTATGCGGGTGCAGGGGTCCAAGCATTTGGGCCATCTTCTACTGCTTCCCCAGGCCATAGCAGAGAGCTGGATCGGAAGTGGAGCAGCCCAGGACTCAAACTGGAGCCCATATGGGATGCCGGCACTGCAGGCCGCAGCTTTACCAGCTATGCCACAGTGCCAGCCCCATATGTATTGATTTTTAAGACAAATTATCAAGGAAGATCATTGGCTTAATTTTATTTTTGTGAAAGCTACTGCTTAAAAATCTTTATTTTGGAGGCCAGTGCTGTGGCATAGTAGGTAAAGCTGCCATCTTGCAGTGCTGGCATCCCATATGGATACCTGTTCAAGAGCCGGTCTTTAGGTTCCTGCTGGTAGATGGCAAATTTATTTTTTTAACATCAGGATAATACATTTCTGCCACAATACCATGATTTAGGTCAGTGGCGGTAACTTCCTAAGTGCTGTCATATTTGTCATGCTACCTGTTATCCCAACTGTCTTCCACTAACCACTACCCACCAGCTCCATCCGTGCCCCAAGGCAGCAGTGTGGAGGAGACAGAAAGTGCTAAGAACTCAAGGAGCAGACCCTCTGCTTTCCAGCAGTCCCTCTGCTTTCTGTCCCTGTGCCTTCTCCCTGGCAGGGCCATGGTGGCATTTCCTAGCAGAAGAAAGAATCACACAGTGCAACAGAAACCATTCTGTCAGACATGGAGCAAATGAGAGGTGCAGGAGTGCACAGGTGCATTGAATCTCTGGCTCACCAAAATCAAGTCCAGCCCTCCTTGCCAGTTCCCTGACAATTCCGCGGAAACCTTGCCCCTTTTGGATTAAAAAAAAAATCCCTATTACCCAACAGTCACCTTTCATTGCCTGTGAACACAGGCTTTTTGTTTTTAGAAGGGTCTATTAGGGTGTTGATATTGGGTGCCTGGCAGGCCATTGAATGTTTAGGTGTGTGTAATATTTTTGCAAATCTTTGTAGCTATTTCAGAGGGTATTTTTTAAAACTTCTAATTTATTTTTACGTATTTGAAAGGCAGAGAGAGAGAGAGAGAGAGAGAATGAGACACAGAGAAGCAGAGAGATCTTCCATTCCCTGATTTAGTCCCCAAATGTCTGCAACAGCCAGAGCCTGGCCAGGCAGAAGCTGGATGTCCAGAATGCAATCCTGTTCTCCCACATGGGTGGCAGGGACCCAAGCACTTGAACCGGCACCACTTTTTCCCAACATTATTCAGAAGTTGGAATTGGAAGAGGACCCAGGATCTGAATGCAGGCACTCTGATATGGGATGCAGGCATCCCAAGAAACATCTTAACCATTGCACCAAATGCCTGACCCCGAGACTATAATTTTTATGCACCTTCCCTCAGTCTTACTTTCAGAGTACACAGCTTTGGTCCAGAGAGCCTTCTGTGCTTATCTTTTTATTTTATTTTATTTATTTTTTTGGCAGGCAGAGTTAGAGAGAGAGAGACAGAGAGAAAGGTCTTCCTTTTTCTGTTGGTTCAACCCCCAAATGGCCACTACGGCCAGTGCACTGTGCCGATCCAAAGGCAGGATCCAGGTGCTTCCTCCTGGTCTCCCATGCTGGTGCAGGGTCCAAGCACTTGGGCCATCCTCCACTGCCTTCCCAGGCCACAGCAGAGAGCTGGACTGGAAGAGGAACAACCGGGACAGAACCGGCGCCCCAACTGGGACTGGAACCTGGAGTGCCGGCGCCGCAGGCGGAGGATTAGCCTAGTGAGCTGTGGCGCCGGTCTGCCTTCTGTGCTTATTAAAGGCACACAAAATATTCCAGGACTTTGACATTCACCTGTGCAGGTTCTCTGTGGCATGGTCCCTTTGCTTAGTGGTAGGGCTAGAACCGCTGCTCTAGATGACTTGGTCTTCTTACTCACGAGGTCGTCATCTCCAAACCTCACATTCCCTATTTTATTGTAACTCCAGCTCTTGATAGTGAAATGGGAGCCTGGTTAAAAGTCACAATTTAACAGATAGGAACAATTAAGATCACTCCATGCTCAGTGCAAAAACATGATCTACATATGTGATTAAAAAAAAAAAAGATTCTGGGTTTAAGCTACAGATGTAGGGGCAGGTGCTTGGTCCAGCAATTATCATACGTGCTTACCACAAGACAGTGCCTGGGCTCAAGTTCCAGCTCCTCTCTCCACTCCAGCTTCTTGCTAATGCACACCCTGGGAGGCAGCAGGTGATGACTCAAGTACATGGGTCCCTGCCATCCACAAGGGAGTTCCAGACTGAGTTCGGCTCCTGGATATTATAGGATTTTGGGGAGTGAACCTGTGAACAGATCTTTCTCTCTGTGTTTCTCCTTTCTCTCTCTGTGATTCTGCTTTTCAAATAAAATAATTTTTCAAAAAAAGGTTAAAATTATTTTAATTATACATTTTATTAAGCCAAATATGTCCAAAATATTATCATTTCAACATATAATTGGTTGGAGCCAGTGCTGTGGCATAGTTGGCTAAGCCTCCACCTGTGCCACCAGCACCCCAAATGGGATGAACCCAAGTCAGTTTGTGTCCTGGCTGCTCCTTTTCCGATCCAGCTCTCTGCTAATGGCCTGGGAAAGCAGTGAAAGATGGCCCAAGTTCTTGGGCCCCTGCACCCATGTAGGAGACCCAGAAGAAGCTCCTGGCTCCTGGCTTCGGATTGGCGCAGCTCCAGCCATTGCAGCCATTTAGGGAGGTAAACCAAGGGATGGAATACCTCTGTCTCTGTCTCTCCCTCTCTGTCTAAAACTCTACCTTTCAAATAAATAAATAAAATCGATTTAAAATTATTGAGATATTTTATACTTTTCTGTCATACTCAGTTTTTGAAACCCAGTGTGTTCTATAGCTGTGGTACGTCTGTTTTTGGATAAGTCATATCTCAGGTGCTCAAGAATCTCATGTGCTCACGTGGCTACCACACGGGACAGTTAATTCTAGAAGCATGACATGACTTTGGAGGTCATCCAGCCTGACTCGTTAATTACAGAATTGATGGAAATAAAAAAAAGGTTGAGTACATTTCTTTAAGTTGTATACTAATTAGTGGATAAGGGGTCAGATTAGTGTGAGGAGTCAGATGGGTTAACAGGCAGTCAGGTTCGTCCTAGTGGAAATTGACGGCTCAAAATGCTTTCTTCCCCCAGAAGTTATATTTAGCAAAATCAAAAGTGCCTGACCTACTTGCTCAGGAATCTCCATTTTTCTCATGAGAATAGCAAGGGAGTTTTGCCTCTCTTGGAGCCCCGCTCCATGCCACCCTGACTAGAGGTCAATGACTCTAATAAATCTTGCTTTTAAATCTCTCTGCTTTGTCTGCTTGGAAATTCTTCTTCCATGTGAGACAAAGAACTTGGGGAATATTCACCTGTAACAATGGGATTAGAATACAAGGGTCTTTTCTGTACCCCCTGGTTTTATCACAAAGCTGATTCACTGCAAAGCTGAACTAGAACTTGGGACTCCCTCTGCTCTGAGGCTCTTTTCTATAGGCAGTGCCTCTCTACCTGTATTACCTTTCTCATACTTAATATAAAGTCACGGGAAAAAAATCTGGCTGCAAACCAAGAACAGAGTCCTGCTGAGTTCCTCCATATCTTCCCACAGAGATAATATTTTATGACTTGTCACCCTTGTCCCCAGAAACCTGTGGTTTCAAGAAACCACTTTGAAAACTCTGATTCCTTTAGGCAATGGTTTTCAGTCAGTGTACATCACAATTGCATAGGAAGCATTTGCAAAATTCAAACAACGGTTCCCTACCCCAGAATTTATACGTTTATACGTGGTTTATACGTGCATTCACATTAATTGCTAGTTTTGAAAATGGTTCCCAACATTCTAATGTGTAACCCAACTCACAAGACCTCACGCTGTCAGAGCCACTGAGTAGCCTGGTGGCAGGCAGTGCAAACCCAAGTCAGGAGCTTGATAAGTCAGCAGGAGGCTTTTTTTTTTTTTTTTTTTTTTTTTTGACAGGCAGAGTGGACAGTGAGAGAGAGACAGAGAGAAAGGTCTTCCTTTTCCGTTGGTTCACCCTCCAATGGCCGCCGCGGCCGGCGTACCGCGCCTAGGCAGGAGCCAGGTGCTTCTCCTGGTCTCCCATGGGGTGCAGGGCCCAAGCACTTGGGCCATCCTCCACTGCACTCCCTGGCCACAGCAGAGAGCTGGCCTGGAAGAGGAGCAACCGGGACAGAATCCGGTGCCCCGACTGGGACTAGAACCTGGTGTGCCGGCGCCGCAAGGCAGAGGATCAGCCTACTGAGCCGCGGCGCCAGCAGGAGGCTGTCTTAAGCCCCACAGGAAAGGATGCCCTAAGCACCTCCCAGGGCGGGGCTACCTGGCTTCCTTTTCCTCTGAGCTCTATATCTGCTCCCAAGGACACCTTTAGCTTCATTTCCTGCTCTTGCAGCCTCACCTGTGGTACTGCCAGAGCCAGCAGAGCAGGCAGGAATGCAGTGCGCAGGACTCTTGCTGGTGGCCTTGGCTGCCTGTGTGGCTCTTCAACCCTCAGAAGGTGAGTGGGGCACTGGCCATCAGGCCTCCAGTGGCTGGGAGGACTCCCAAATCAGTCTTGAAAGAGTGGGTTGAGGCAGAGCTCTTTATGTCTTCAGGCTAATTTTCAATGATTTCTGATTACCTACAAGACAATGGCATACATTTAAATTCTAAATCTCTGAGGAATTTCAGGAAGGCACTTCACTGTAACAACGTATTATTATTTGCCAAGTGAGGAATAACTCCTCCACATAAGTGCAACTTAGAGTGGCATTTCCTTTTAGATGACAGAATCTTAGAAAGCTGGTGCCAGAGGTTGGCATAAAGCCTGTTATTCATATGTGTTCCCTGTGCCCAACCTGCTAAATGTCTGAACACAAGTGAGTACTTTCTTGGGGGAATAGAGACTGGACCAAGGGGTACTGATTGGGTAAGCTGAAAATTTTCCCAGCAGAGTCAGCCCTGTGGATACAGAAATCTGAAGCTTCAGTTTGATCTTTAGAAATGGGAGCAGGATGAAAGAGATTAAACATGCAAATTAGATCTGAGAGAATTTAAATCGTGAGTTTCTAGCATGCAACTGGGAGACTGTAACTGAATCTGCACTGCACAGACTCTGCTCTACAGCAGCACTCACTACTGCATTAGGGAAACCCTAACTGGAGGTGCTCAACAATACTGGGCTGATGCCATCTTTGCTTGTGTTCTACCCTGAATAGATCTGTAAGTGCAGAGGCAGAATATAAACTTCATTTGGTCTACTTTTTAAGAAATTGAGCTATCATTTAAAAACAGAGATTTCACATGCACACATACAAATTGGACATTAAAATTTCTTTCAAAAAAGCTAATCTGAAAACCATGGTTCCATGTACACTAGCAGGGACTGGTCAGAGTGGACTAGCACTAGTCCTTTTCCTCTGAAGTTTGCTATCTCGTATTAATTGCTTGGCCCCTGTAGCTTTAGGGATCCCAGTATGGTGCACTGAGGTACTGGGCTTATATAAATAAAGTAGAGGGGGGAAATATGGAAAACTCCCTCTTACTATCATTCTATCTTTTCAAGATATGGTTCAAACTCTGACTTTTTACTATTTCTGCAAAATATTTTTTATGAAGAATTCACCATTGAAATTTCAGGATTCACTTTCTTTGTTTCTTAAAGGTCTGTCTACTAAGGCTTTACACCTAGTTTTGGCAGCTCTACCAACATAAAGCTTTGAAATAAAGGTGTGCTTCCTGCCAGCCTCCTGACCCATGTGCAACTGTTCACACAGCAGCAGCAGCAACTGCTGCCCTCCTGCAGAAAAGGGAGGAGCAGGCATAGGGCACAGATGGGACAGAGGAGGCTGTGCTACACCCAGGACCAAACTTCACATAGGACAGAGCCCTGGAAGGACAGCAAATGCAGAGGTGCTTGAAAAAGCACTCTGGTGATAAAGGGAGCTGAGACCCAGTAGAAGCCTTTGGTGCAGTCTAGGGCTTTAGTCTGGGCCACAGGAAAATCACATTTTCAGAAAAGCCCCAACCCTTTGCATTTAAACATAGTGATTTGGGTTGGAACACAAGAGGGCAGTTCTCAGTCATGGAACTGAGGGGGCAACACCACTGCTTCCCACAGCAACCTCCCAAAGTGTCTGTGTGCCAGGTGCCCTGTGAGCTGGTGATTCAGGCTCCAGGTATCGGCCGAAGACCAGGTAAGGAGGGGGTGGGGAGGACTCAAAGACGCAGGTAAGGAGGTAAGTGGCCTTGGCAATTATTGCTGGAGAGAGGGGACAGGGAAGTAGCCTATGGCAGTTTAAGACATTGGGAAACACATTTTGTGGTTTCAGGCAGAAAGTTGTTCCATTATCTTAAGGGTGTCTTAAATAGCTATCTTCCTGTCTTGGCTCAATAAATGGCATCCCCAAACTGCTCTGCATAAATGAGGAAGCAGCGGACTCTATTCACAATTAAAAGACTTGGAGTCCTCCCAAAGGTAGGGCATACTCCACATCTGCTGACGTGGAGGCTACCTCAGAGAACTCAGCACTGAGTACACAAACATGTCTACCATGCTGTTCCAGTGTCCCTGGGCTTGGCTGGATTCTTTGAATCCACAGTCTTGGATTTTGTGAGCCTGCTTATTTTTAAAATTTTTATTTTTATTATTGCTTTTTTAAAAAACATATTTTATTTCACTTTATTTTTCTTGTGTAAAATGCATTTTGTAGCCAGTGCTGGAGCCTGAGTTCCCTGCACAGACACCCTGGTGGGGGTCTTTACATGATAGTCAGTGAATTCCTGAGAGGGTGACTTGGGAAACACTGTCTCTTTCCAGAGGCTGGGAACAAATAGCTGTAGGTCTTGGAGATGGCATCAAAGGTAGCCTTGGAAAAGTTGCCTGCAGTTGCAGTGCAGCCCCTGGCTGAAGTGTAGCCATCATCACTACCAGCCATCAGCAGTAGCTTCTTGTGGACAGGGGGCAAGATGATGCCAGTGCTTCCTGGGGCAGCATTGGGGCCATAGCACAGAACCAGTGCTGGGTCCCCTTGCAAGGCACAATGTGGGGCTGGACAATATTGTTCTCCCAGCAGACTTCCAAAAAGACATAATGGAGAGCTTGGCCAGGACCATTGCCCCTTGGATGGTGGTGACTACTTCCTTTGAGCACTTCACGCCTAGGTTTACCTGGCCATTGTAGTCCTCAATGGCAACAAATTCTTTGCACCTGGTCCACTGAACAGCATGCATCTGCTTTTACACCATAATAATCTTCAAAATTTTATGCTTGAGGAATATCCCCAGAAAATCGATGGACAGGGAGAAGAGGCAGATCTCCTCCAAGAATTGCTCTTCTTGCCCTTGACCAGGTGGCCCATCTTGTTAAGAGGGAGCCACTCCTTGTCCTCTGCCTTGATTCTGTGAACTTGGCAGCCTTAATCCTGACCACAACTACAGCCATGGATGCCACTGTAGCTCCTATTCCAGGGCCCTTGGGGGCTCCAGGCCCTCCTGGTATACCAGCATCATCTGTCATTTGGTGTCCTCTTAGAGAAGTGCCTGGCTGTTTTCTCCTGTTCCCCTCCCCTCCCCCATCTCCACAAAGAAACCTTTTATTTAAGGAACACAAACTTCATGCAATTCAAGTACATTCTAGGAATACAAAATAAAAATAAACAAATAAAAAATTATAGGAATACAGTGATTCTTCCCACCATACCTGCCCTCTCACCCACTTTCCCACACCTCATCCTCCTCCCTCTCCCATCTCCAGTCCCATTCTCCACTAAGATGCATTTTCCATTAACTTTATACACAGAAGACCAAAGCTATACTAAGTAAAGAATTCAACAGTTTGAACACACACACAAAAATAAAAATAATAACAATAAAAAACTGTTCCTCAACAGTCAAGACAAGGGCTGTTCAAAGTCATTGCATCTCCAAGTCAATTTCACCCCTTTTTTTCCCCCAGAAACTTAATTAACTTTAAAGAAACACCCAAGAAGCAACTTAAGAAGCACTTAGACATAATTATAACATAACTTTTTGAGGACAGAGGTGCGCATGGGAAGTCAGTGCACAGTGACTCCTGTTGTAATTTAACAACCAGGGCCAGCGCCGCGGCTCACTAGGCTAATCCTCCGCCTTGCGGCGCCAGCACACAGGGTCCTAGTCCCGGTCGGGGCGCTGGATTCTGTCCCAGTTGCCCCTCTTCCAGGCCAGCTCTCTGCTGTGGCCCGGGAGTGCAGTGGAGGATGGCCCAAGTGCTTGGGCCCTGCACCCCATGGAAGACCAGGAGAAGCACCTGGTTCCTGCCTTCAGATAGGCGTGGTGCGCCGGCCGTGGCAGCCATTGGAGGGTGAACCAACGGCAAAAGGAAGACCTTTGTCTCTCTCTCTCTCACTGTCTACTCTGCCTGTCAAAAAATAAAAAATAAATAAATAAAAATAAAAAAAATTTAACAACCAACACAGTTATGCATGATGTCAGTGATCACTCAAGGCTCTTAACATGAGCTGCCTTGGCTATGGAAGCTTCTTGAATCCACAAGCTCTGTTGTGGGGAGCAGGGTCCGTCTCCTGCAACATGGCGGGGCGCCTGGGAGATAAATAAGTACTGAAACTGTGGACTGAAACTAACTCTATGCGTCTGATCTCCCACCATATGGCGCTGAGAGGGAGTAAACAAATCTTACACAGCTGCTTTGTCAATTAGCTGATTCCTGATTCAACCTCTGATTGGAGGAAAGCCACGTGCTCAGCACGCGGGCAGTGGAGCACGGATTGGTGGGAGAGGACTATAAAAGGGGGAGAGAGACAACATGCGGGGCCCCCTGGGAGAGTTGGTCGGGGACCTCGTTGGTGCTGCTCCTCCGCGAAGGCAGGGGAGTGGCAGCAAATCTGGGAAGGACCGGGGAAAGAAAACAGAGTCCAGTGTCGTAGAGTCCGGTGTCGTTCCTCCGCGAGCGGGGGAACGACACTCTGTCAGTATTTAGACTAGGCCATAAGCAAAATAGAAGTTCTCTCCTCCCTTCAGAAAAAATTGCCTCCTTCTTTGATGACCACTTTTTTCCACTGGGGTCTCACCGACCAAGGTCCTTCAGGTAGGACATTTTTTGCCACAGTGTCTTGGTTTCCCATGCCTGAAATGCTCTAATGGGCTTCTCTGGCTGTTTTCAATTGTACATTCAGACTGCGGTTGTACTTGTGCCCAGCATGTTGGGAGATTTTGCTTCACTGGCTCCCAAATTGTCCAGATATCTACTAGAGAGGTAATGGGATATTTCCCCTCTACCCTCTGAAGATTCTGGAATGAGCTGACATGACACTTTAAATAGAAGAATGAAACACAAATTTATCAATGTGCAAAGAGGCAGAATCACAGCACCCAGGAAAACCACACGACTGTGATTACCCAGCAACCCAGTGCAGCTCAGAAGCTCACGTGCCCTTTCTCCACAGCAGAGAGGGAGAATGGACAGTGCAGACATTTCTGAGGGGTTGTAAGTGTCTATTAGGGGAATGAGTAAAAAGA